GGGGGGTTGTTATAGTTTACTCTTCAATTATAAAATGCTGATGTTATCCGTTCAATAAATATCCGCAGCACTTGTTGATTAACTTTGAAACTTTGCAGAAAATAACCCCAACTTTCATCTAGATCTCTCAATGATATATTTGAATAAAGTTAAGTTAATTGCTAATTATGACATATAATAGTAGTAGTAGTATATATATGTAATTAGCATTCCATTAGCACAGAGTTCTAAACGTGCGATCGTTTTTTTTTTCTCTTGCTCTCTTTTGTTTTTGTGAAAAGTGAAATCAAGACGCGTGAGAGGAGACACACAGAGAGAGAGAGAAATGCATGCTTCATTGATTTAATATATATATATAAATGCGTGAAACTTTTCGTGTATTATTAAATCAATGTTGGAGTCGGGAGAGAATGTTGTTCATACTTCAGTCAACAATCGATACATACATACATACATACGTGGGGCTATATTTAATCTCTCATCAATTGTTTTATGAATTAACAAGAATTTTCAATCGAGAGAAAACTAAAATCGGTTCATAAACTACGAATGCCTTGGAAACAATTGAATGCGAATTAATTGATTTCAATAATAAGTCCGGAAATTATCGTTTAGAATAATTTAGTTTTGTTATTTCTATTATTTCATTGTTTAATTAAATCTCTTTATATTTCTTTAGATTTAATATAAAAAATTGCAAGTTTTTAAATGTAGATTGTGCAATGTGTTAGATAATAGTAATCAATGTTTACTTGTTTGCAGTTGTCTTATCTATGATAAGATGTTGTTGGTTTTTTTTTGTATCTGTTTTAGGTGTTTCGATGAGAGAAAACTAGTTGGATTTTATTTAAGAAGTGTGATGTTGAACTGACTGTAGGGTATCGGTCCATAGATCATCATGGGAAGAGCGGCGATGGTGTGTCTGTAGTTCTGCGTCTGCTCCTGTCTGATTTTCTGCTCCGGAGTTCGTTTTCTCAGGAATTCCATGGACATGGTTTGCAGAGATCAGCGGGAATGATGATTTGATGGAAGGGTATGTCTCCTTTTGCGGGGTGAGTCACCACCGAAATACGCGCCACTCCACAAACACTCAACTCACACTTGTAGAGAGACACAAACACATAAATACGCAGACAGACGGATGAATAGATGGACGTAGGGACACGCACACCGTTGCCGTGGTCGAGATGCAAATGCCTGGAGTCGGTCGGAAGGAAGGAAGGAAGGCAGGAAGGGATCGCGCATTCGGAGCACGTGCTCGAAACGCGCGCAAAACCTTCACGTCTAAAAAAAAAGAAGACAATGGATCGTCCGATGAAGAGGAGAAGGAGGTGGAGGAATTGTGAGGAGCAGCATGAGGATGACGTTGGGTCTGGGAGAGTTTCGAAGCCGTGGGAGGATGATGATGATGATGAGGATGAGGAGGAGGCCCAGCAATTAGATCGATAAAGACCCCAAGAGACTTGCTCGCACATACATTCACATTCACACTCACACCCAGACTCCTCTTACTCACACTTGCACACATATCATTTTCATAAATTTACAATATAATGGGTGAAATTAATTTCCCCATTGTTTGCTCTCTGCGCCCAGCGAGCGCACCAAGAAGTGAAGAGCGTGCGCTCGCTAGGCGAGGAGAGTAGAGAAGAGCAGACGCCTCTCTCATGAATTACCCAATCGCCGGGTCTAATTAGAGAGTGCGAGAGGAGACGCCAATTAGGACACACATCGAATTGTTTTGTTCTTCGACTCTCGAACTAACAACAAAGATACGCGACAAGAGCAACAGTTCCTACGCTCGGGTAATTTTCACGAATTAATCTGCATAAACATTCTTCACATACAAATTGACGTTTCAAAAGTTTAAAGCTAATTAGTCTATGTACGATTTCAATATGGTTACAAAACTTCATTTAGACTAGTCTTGTTCTTCTTTTTTTTTTGTTTTCTTTTAGTTATTTCTAAAGATGAGTAAAAACAAAGTGGTGGTGTTAATTTCTCACGTAATAATAATAATTACCTGGACTCGAGAAATCGTATTGTCCTTTGGGTGGAGGCGGCGGTGGCACTTCTGGCTCTGGTGGATACAATTCGAAAAGTGTTTACTGTCTCGCGACATATCGTTATTCCGAATGACCTCTTTCTCTCCTTTTTTTGCTTTTTGTTTGAGAGTTTTCATTTTGGGTCATTGTAGGGTTGGTTAGTAATTTAGTGTTAGTTTGAGTTAGACTTTTCTTAAATATAAGTTAAAAACAATAACTTTTTCGGGGTGCAACTTTCCTAATCCTGAGTGCTTTTTGTTCTACAGCTATTTCTAACTATCATCGTATCACCTTTGAATGTAACGGACGGACGTATTGACTGCCTCTGCTGGTTGTTCTTGAGGATGGAGGAGAGGCGAGCCGAGGTGGTGGATGATCGAGGAGGCGACGTCGATTTCGGACGGATGCAGTTGTCGTCGGTTTTCGGGTATCTGTGAGCCGTCCAAGAACCCGTCAGATATTGCGCGATGTCCCGGAGTTCGTGGACGTTCGGCGAAGACGTGAACATGTGTCCGAGGAGGGACATCTCCACGTCCGGACAATCGAATTTGGCGCGCAACTTTTCCACCTCACCTAGGGGAATCCCTAAGATTCCGGCCAACTCCTCGTTGCTCCTCATGCGACTGCCCTCGCTATCCGACTTTTTCTGCGGATACAGTGAGGCAATCTTGCTGATGATGTTGATGTGCGGCATGAATCTGTCTTCGGGTTGAAGACATTGCGGCGAGAGGATGGCGCCTCCTTTCCTGGTGCGGCTGCGACCACGTCCGGCGATCGCCGGAAACTCGTACCTCTTCCTCAGAGAGTCAACCTTCTTCTCCAAGTGAGGATCGCTGCTGCTGCGGCTCGAAATGCGTTCATCCTCGAAACGGTTCCTCAACCGACTGACGTCTCCCGCTTTTAATGATGCGTAACTTTCGTCATAACACGGTGATAGACTTCTGCTTCTGTGGATCTCCCTGCGTGCGCTCAAAGATTCTCCGTACAACTCCTTCAGATCCTGGTGCGATTGCGACAAACCACCAATCATCGTTGTTTCGCAAACATCTTCGGAAGCTTTGTAGACTGTAGGAGTGTAAGTATCCTCTTTTCTACTTTCAAAGTATTCCACCTTTTCGGCGATCGGCGGTTTTCCTACGGAAATTACTGTTTTGATTGAACCGTCGGTGCTTCCGCTTCCACTCGCACTTGCGCTCGTCATCGTGTTCGCATCTAGAGCGTCCGTCTTGATCAACGCCTTCTTCGGTTGTGCCCAAATCTCCAGGGTATCTTTGACGTCGCTCTTGCTCTCCTCGTCTTTGGTTAACACCAGGATAAAATCGTTTTCCTTATTCCTCTGATCATCCTCGGACATCTCCAGAGAGTAGCAAGTCCTCGGCGACGGCAATTCGTGCGTCACCACGTTGGCATCTGCGGCGGCAACAGCTCCCCTCGTCTCTTTAGCCAAAACTAAAGCCGGAGAATTCTTGAACTTGCGTCTCTGCCTATCCAAGATCTCTTTGCTCAGACTTTGCGAAATCTTTTGTTTCTCCACCTCCGACAAGGCGCAATCGTCTCCGGAATTTCGACGCACCTTAAGCTCTTTAGGTTTACGATTGTCCTGCAAACTAACTTCGATAGAATTATCTTTTTTAGGACTTCCGTAGATCTCGGTGAGTTGTTCTTTGAGCACGTTGACCTGCTCCATGGAGAGACTGCTCCAGATCTTGCTGCCAACGCCGCGCGTCAAGAAATCCTCTTCCTCCTTGCTACGACCTTCGGATTTGGATCTCCTCTGCTCGTTCAAGCTTTGCGCCAAATCGTGCACAGAGTTTCCACGCCACAGAGGTTTGTACAAACCCCTCTCGTTCATCATTCTCTCCTTTTCGCGATCGCAATCGTCGCTCATCTGAACGCCGCTTCTCTCGAAGAGCTCACGGATATCCTCGACGGATTTATCGCGCGCCCTCAGTCCCCTGTCCAAATCGCGCTGCCACTTTCTTGTCTCCTTCGACCTGAAGTGGCTTCCGTTCAAACGTTCGCACAACATCTTGAACTCTGATTCAGTTTTCCGCTCCTTTCGATCTCGTTTCCACTGTTCGCAATCAACAATATCTTTTGAACTTAACGGTTTCACGGATTTTTCCTCGGAATTCAGTTTGGATTCCTTTCGCGCTTTGATCTTGCGACACGAGGGAGATCGAACCACCTTGTGCACAAAAATCGTAGGCGAAACGGGTCTAGCTGTCTCCGAAAAGATTAATTTAGTTGGCGGTAGACTGTAGCAGCATCTATTCTCTTCGCGCTTAGGAGATTTCGGTGGATCCAAGGACCGAAATTTCGATTGCGACACCGGTTTCGTTTGATTCAGATAAATCTTGGATGCGCCGAGCTTTGGTTTCTCTCTCTTTTTCGCCTCCTTGATAATCTCAACGTTGATTTCGTCCTTTTTCGCCTTTTTCAATTTCTTGTTTCCAACACTCGCTGCAGGTTTTACAGTAATTTTTGGTTTAATCACTTTGGATTTCACCGAATCCGTCGACGTCGAAATGGAGCTTTTCGAGAGCGACATTTTCGACAGTTTCGGTTTTGGAGGTGGAATTGCGACCTTCTTCGGTTCCTTTTTATCGCACGCTTTGCACGGCCTGTACTTGTTGCAGCATTTTGGCTGTTTAATCATCTCTTTTTTGGGTTTAACTGTTACCGGTTTCTTTACCGGTTTCGAGGTGAAGCACGTTTCGTGTCTGGGTTTCGAGACGATCAGTCTGAGCGTGGAATTGTTGCGCGAAGATTTGCGCTTCGGAGGATTCGGAGCGTTTTGCGACGGAGCCGAGCGTTTGTACGTCCCAAAGACTTGCGGACGAACGCTTAAAGGATAGCAAAGGAAATCTGCGAAAAGAATAGTCAAGAGAAACGCACTAACAAAGTATGAATGGGTTTTTATAAACCGGCCAATTATACTGAAGACTTGTGTTTCGTGCTGAAAACGTAATCGAACAAAGAAAGTCATAGGGTGTCCGGAAATGTGTGCACTGCAAGTTATCGTTTTTTTTTTTTTTTTTGATAATATTTCTGTTTTTAACTTATACTTAAGAGATAGGCGAAAACCATGCAAAAATGTTAGATCAGAGCTGAAGAAACCTGCCGCCTGTTAAATTATTGTCGGAGCCTTAGCGTTTATGCTTGTGTATTATAATTATTACTTGGGGAAATTAGCACCATCACCACCACCAACACCACCGTCATCATCATCATAGTAATCTTCACCACCACTACAACTGCCACCTGCTGCTACTGCTTTGCTTAAATGAGTAGGGCGTAGGTTTCGGGAGGCGGAAAATGCGGAAAAATCGTTACCTTTCGGCCTCTCGGGCGCCGGCTTCCTGAGGCCGTGGATCGGGACTTCGCCGCCCCTCTGGATATTCCTGTAAACTTCCCTCTGTTCCAGAGCGCTAAGAAGTTGGGCGGTGTCGTCGCGACGCCTGAAAACTAGAGGGGAATCGCTCTCGTATCCGGATTCCTTCAGCGCCCTTCAGAAAACAAAAAAAAAATATTTCAAATTGAATTGTTTTTTAACACGTAATATAATTTGAGAATGTTGTAACAGTTCAACACTAGGTAATTAGTTCTTTAATTTGCAAAAATAAACTGACTTCTTCTCTTTAGCAGTCGTTTAATTGCGGATTGAAAAGCCAATTATTTTGTATACTCACTGACTCATGTATCCTTTGGTGGTGGGCATCCTTTTTTGCTGCTCCAGATGCTGCGGGAACGCAAGAAATTTATTAGAATTAACACTTGATAGATTATAGAATTAGGAGATTCAATTTAGATCAAGCATAAAACCGGTGTTTTTTTTTATGTTTCGTTAGTACATACAGAAATTTAGTAAACTACCACAGAGTTAGTGTTAATGGCGAGTCCAAAGAGATAGTAATAAACAAAAATCATGCGGTTTCTGTGATCATCAACAAATTGTGAAGATGTGCTTGTACATGTATATATTTACAAGTGCTTGAATATATATGTGTTTAAGTGATCAATGAAAGATTGATAAATAAGAGTAGAAGAAAGAAAGAAATAGAGTAAATTTGCATGCTCTTACGCTTCTCACGATGGCTTTATTTAGTAGGTAGTTGCAACTGGGCGCAGCCGAATGATCGTCCAACCACTATGCGTTGTTGTTAATACAAAAAATTTCGATTGATGGTTTTCGATTGATTGATTGATTGATTTTTATGTTTTGGTAATTATTTGTTTTTTTTTTGTTTTTGCCAACACCCAAAAGAAATACGAGTTAATTAGTTGTTGATTTTTGCACAGTGAGAGAGACACAGGGGGACACAATTTGCCAAAAACCAAAAAAAAAAAAAGAGAGAAGAGAAAACAAAAAGAAAAATCGTGAGGATTTTGTTTGTTTGTTTTGTTTTTTTTTTTGTAAATCAAATTAATTAATTATTCGTACCCCATCAAATATATCCATGACTTCGTCCCACCACTAAAAAAAAAACGAAAGAAAATCATAATGCAAATAACAGGAAAAACAAAAGAAGGAAAGTGAAAAAGAAAATAAGATAGAGGAAAAACTAGATGCGTCGACGTTGTCATCATGAATTGAAGAGCGAGATGAAGCGGACAACAATAACAATAGTAGTAACAACAATGATTGAAAGACAAATTAGGAGGTTATAACTACGGCGAATTTAATTTGCACCCTCCCCACGACATGAAGAAGAAACGAACGAAATAATTTTTGCTGATTTATATAATGATTGTTGTTTACCTTCTTCGCCTCGTGCTCAGAAATCGACGATTTTCCCGGCTGGTAGTTTTCGATTCTTCCCGGCTGGTTCTTGTACACGTCGTTCGCATGCTGCACATCCGACGGTCTGTACCTAAGCAAAGATCGCATCTCAACTGTTAAACTCGTGTTCTCATGGAAACAATACAAACTGAACGATGACAGAAAAAAAGAAACACAAGCGAGTGTTACTACCTATGCTCTCTCGTTACTCGCTTGTGTTTTTTTTTATCTAATCACGTCACTTCACACTTGTGGACTTGAAACTCGCAATTAAGTTTTAGCTCGTTCGTTACGCAATCGTTATGGTTTTTTTTTCCTATTGTTTACATTTGTAAAAAGTTTACGAATTCGATAAATAACTAAAAGAAATGTTTAAGTTAAAATCTTTTGGTTTTTAAACCGAAAAACGATGTCTTATTCTTATATGAAAGAAGTGGAACGTTGGCATGCGATTCACTTCCGTTTCCTGCTATATATTTCCACCACTATCATCCCCCTTTTTTTTTTTAAATTTTATTTTCATACTCTTTTCGTTCGTTCGGTGAATTCATCGCTTTTTTTTCAAACATTTGAGTTATTTATTTTTCTTCTTCTTTTGTTTGCAGCATGACCTGGATAGATGTGTTATTGGTGCACAAAATGCAGCCGTAATCGACCGTAATAAAAGTGTGCCGTGGTGTGTTCCCGAGTGGCAGCTGTTGCCGCCGCAGGTCGATGCGATTGATTAATTGATTGATCCGAATCAAAGTGAAAGAACAAACGAGAGAAAGAGATACGCTTTTAATTGGTTCTAATGCAGAGGAAGAAGACGTTATTCAACGATTATGATTGATCGAATGATTCCTGGTAATTTCAATTGTTCGTAACTATATTTTATATGCTTTTGTTTTGTTGCTATAGTGATGTTTGACTAATTTCCAAGTGAATGTAATAATTGCTAGATTTATAGGCAAGTATGAAAATGTTGTTACCTAATGGTGGTTGTCGATGCGTTTCTCGGTAGGGTGGAAGACATTCCGTGATCCTGATTCGGAGGAGGCTGAGGACGTCGTCGATCCAAGGTGGCGTATTTGCAGTCGGACATGGTCGCGTCGCTGTCGTACGCTCCTGGTTCCGGCTCCGAAAGGTATCCGGTCGTGTAAGGATAACGTCCTAATAATAATAAGCAGCAGGCGGGATTATTAAACAAGCGAACGAAACAGATGAAAAGCGAAAGAAAAAAAACAAAAATAATGATGGAAGCGAAATGAGGATCTCTTGCTGGGCTCGCTCGCAACGTATTGATGATGAAACGAGAGAAAGGAGCAGCAGCAGCAAGAGAATCAAGTTCAGATCCAGGGTTCAACTCTTATCACCGTTTGAGAATGTCGGAAGAATTATGTATGTTTACTATTATTTTGGTACGAATCGTGAATGAAGCAAGAAACGAAACGCTAAAACACCACCCATAAACAGCGAAAATTAGATTAAAACAAAACAAAAGAAGCATTGATGATGGTATTTTGATTTTGTGATGATGCATGAAGAAGGAGGAGGAAAGAAGATAAAATACCTCTGCGCTGTTTGTAGCGGACCGTAACGTATTCATCTGTAAGAGTTTACATATTGTTCATAACTTGAAATTTGTTTCAATTCTTCTTTGTGAAGATGATCTTACCGTCGTCGTATCGGCTGGGTTTCTGCTTGTGGATGGTATCGTACATCTTTTTGTACCATTGGGACATGTTGGTGTCCCGCACCTCCGATCTCAACGTGATCGGCATCCCGTCTTTGGTGGTTGGGCCGATACCCTCGTACTTCTTGCTGGGATTGCTGTTGATCGCGATCTTGGTTTTGGGTCGTTCGCCGTCGGAATCGCTCACGCAGTCGCCGCTTCGAACCTGATGCACTAATGAAAAGAAACAAAAGAATATGATAGGTAAGTCTGCTAGCTAGTAGTTGTTAAGAAAAAGAAACAAAATGCAGATTTAAACAAGTGATGAATAAGATAATAAAAGACACGCGAAAGAAAAGCTGCTGCAGCACACTCTCATTACGTGTGCTTTTATGAAGTTTACCTGGATCGTTCGAAAAGTTGGGGGGTTCATTTGATCTGGTGGCGGCGCAGCGCTGTTGCTTCTCCTGCTCGAGGGCAGACGAAGCCTTCGGTATTTGCCCCTCTGCACCAACAACAATAACAACAAAAAACGAAACATAATTAATTACACTTTACTTAGTTTAATTAGTTTAAAAACACCGAAATCATATACTTGTTGCATCAAGAGGGATAACCAATTAGTTTGTACTGTAGGCTTGTAGATGTATAGACATAGATAATCTAAGGATTTTAGTGATTGATGATTCATCTTACCTCTGGCCTTTTGCAGAAGGGTGATTGTCGGATTCTGTGCTTTGGGGAGTCTCGAGCAATCTGAGAAACCGGGTCCCGGAGCGGAAAAGCTCGTCGGTATTCTCGCTTCCGGTTTTGGCTCGGCCTTCCACGATGGTCCCGCTTCTTGAGTCAGAGTGGCCGATCCCTTTGTTACAGGATAAAGAGTAGTTGTTGCGGTAGTTGTAAAAGTAGAATAGAGTAGACTCACGTCCGATTTGGTCCTGGTCTTCCTGCCCAAAACCGGAGATTCAAAGTTCACCGGTCGGAACTCCTTCCGTTCGGCCGTCGGACTCGAACCGGCGCTCCTCGGAGTCCACACGGGTGGGATCGGTTCGCCCCCTTCGGTTCGTCTCTGCTGCTGCTGCTGCTCTTCAGCTCTAGACTCTTCGTTCCGCTGTTGCCCAGGCGACCAAACTCCTAAACAAAAGAGGAAAAGCATGACCAACTTGAATCTTCGTAGCATCTTCAACGAACAGTAACAACAAATGAAACACTCGCATGTACATGTTTAAAGGCACGGAGCAGATGCAAGAAATTTACGAAAAAGAGCGGGCGGGTGTCCGGTAGGGGGGTTGTGGTTTTGTAAAAGCTTTCAGAGTCGATGATGATGATGATGAATGTGAGGGGATGGAGTAGTTTCGATTTTCGCATCTCGAGCGTTCAAGAGCAATTTGGCCAAAAGTGAACGTTAATTATAGCATTCGAAAATTGAGTCACGTCCGCCTTAAAAATAGACACTCTCCTTCTGTATAGGCCGCGAAATCACGAGGAAAACGCGAAGAACGACATAAAAAACAGAAGAAACAAAGAGAGAGATTGAAGACAAAAAGAAAGAACATAAAAGCAAAGGAGCAGCATTGTAATTATTACGCAGCCGTTTTTTTTTTTTAATTAGCGATTCTTCCCTCCTCTCACTGTTATCGAGTCGCGTTTCCGGCGGAAATCTTCCCGTTTTAGAGACGGGCGAGACGTGTCACATGGGTAAGGTGAGTTAATTAGCCGAAGATGAAATGGGACAGCCTCCTCCTCTTTCTCTTTCATTTCATCCTTATCCTCAATCTCATTTTCCCTCCTCTCTCGCGGCCGAATTATATTATGGCACAATTATGAGAGTCTAAATTTACGCGAAGGCTTTTTCCTCTTGGCGCGTCTCTCTTGTTTATTCCGTTAATATCGAGTCTCGTCGTGGCATCAACATCAGCACAATTCGAATCAAACCCTTCTTCGTTTCGATTTTCCCCCTGGACGTTAATTGTTATGGTCACCAATTTTGGCTTGTTTTGTTTTTTTTGTTCTCTCATCTGTTTGCAACGAGGACCCGATAAATTCGCTGCAGGTTTCTGGCTCGAGTGGCCAGCAATTATTAATGATGCCTTCGCATCTTCATGAGTTATTGTCGCTTATATTTTCGATGGTAATTGTACCGTGCAAATGATGCTGCAGCCTTTACTAAACACTTGTTTTAGATTTGCTAACTTCGATTTATTGTATCTAATTACAAGAAATCAGTAAATTATACAATCTGAACTTAAAGTTAGTTACGTTCACTATAGTTTCAACTTTAATTTAATATTGATTTATGTCTAAAAAAATTAATTGATGTAAAGTTAGCATCAATTTACAAGAGACGCGAAATATGAATGGTATATATATTATAAATACGATTCCGCAGTGGAAATTTTTTCTCTCGATTGACGTCTCCATTTGATATTCCTCCTCGTTCATTCTCAAAATTTCTGGTTATGCCATAGTTAAATTTAGATGTACAGAAATACGGCATCATTCGGACTGCGTAATAATAATGATCGTGAAAAAAAAAATAGAGGAAAAAACGGAATCGAGTTGCCAATGCGTACAAAATCCGGCGTTAAGTAAGTATCAAAGTCGTCGTAATTTGCATAAACGTCAAAACATACATGCATTTGTTTCTTTAAACTTGCGTCATTGCAAGAAATTCTTCTGTTTCCATCGATCATTTGTTAAGAAGAAAAAAACTGCTACAAGTATTACTTGTTTTTTGTAATTCATGTAATTATAATAGTGATAATTTTAAGGAACAGTTGATAAAAACAAAAGAAGCGATTGTTTTAACGATTCTAGTTAATGCAGTGCAGTGCATTAGCATAGAGTTCCAGACTGAATTAGTTGGATCGTCGTCTCGTCTCGTATTGCATGCACATTGTTGCTGTTACATAGCTGACGCATTGTTATGTTACGAGCATTCAATTTGTCTTCGGCGAACGCAACGAGCGGTGAGGCGAGTTCGAATCGACATCTTTCATATTAGCAAAGGCGGCGGCCGCTCCCATCTACAAAAGAAAACCTATACCACCACCTTCTTGATATGTTTGCTGCGATGTCATAACAAAGAGGAGCACCAAGATTGATCGAAGCAATCACGAAACCAACAAAATTCACAATTTTAGACTGCTGCAAGATATTCCTATAACTCAAATATGTTCCCTTATACTGCTTCCACTATTCAAGAATTTTCTACAAAAAAAAAATTGTCTTTGTAATTGATTAATCGAAAGCAACCGCACAGAACTTCATTTTCGAGTCGGACTTAATTGGAAAGCATCGATTTGCAGGGAAAACCTTTCAGCTTTCCGTACTTTTAATTGCAATCCGAAAATAGAGAGAAAAACTTCTCTTCGTTCCTCAAGCCTCGTATTATTTTGTCTGTCTGTGTGTGTTTGTCTTCGTTTCTTTTCCATCTATTTCAAGATATAAACATTTACCGCAACATCAAAACATTCGGTGAGGCGCGAAAAGAGCAACTGTTAGCCTAGGTTCAAGGTTCCCAAGAAGTTTCATTAACTCTGGGAAATTCTTCTTCTGAAAGTTTCCAAAAAAAAAAAACAAGAATACTAACAATTTATTAATTATCACTCGTTGCAAATTTAACTGTTACTAATTCGAGACTGATAAAGATTTAGTTAATTTTGTTTGAAATAAGTTTAAATAATTTAAATTTAATTATTAAGATATATGCAACCAGTGCATCTGATAATATACAATTATATAGTTTGCAGCTTTTCTCTATTGTAAATCGTACTTTTGCCTATTCCTTTGAAATTTGATAATTTTGCTTCATTCATGTAATTCAATTATTTCGTCGGATAGGCAACTAATATAACTCGTAGCAATAAAACTTTGCATGTAAATTCAAATTGCCTTTTCGAAATCTTGCTGATAATTATAATAAGTTCTGAAAGTCTATTAAACTTAGCAAATATTCAATTATTTAATCATCTGAGAAATGTGATGTAAATTAATATCATTTTGATGAATGTTCGCTAGATGGACATTATTTCATATTGTCGAAGTTATACAATTCCAATTGCTGCGAATTTGCGAAATAAAGAATGTAAAGAGCAGAAGGAACCTTTCGATGGTGCCGTTGCTTTGAACGTGGGGGCGGGCGCGATCATCCTCTCGAAACACTCTCGACGATGATGATGATATCTCCGATGATTGATCACAGAGGGAAGGTCACAACATAACAAAACACATGCACTCGACGACGATCCGATCAATTCGATCTAGTTCTTTCTTTCTTTCGTGTTGGTGATGGTGTAAGCAGGGTTTCGTTGCACACGAACGCGAGACGACCGCACGACTGGCGCTCTCTACAACCTGCAGCGGGCGTCGCGACGCTTCACACACACACACATTCATTTATATATATATACACACACACACATACACACACGGAGCGCTAGATTTAGAAGCGGCGTCGCTAAAACTGACCGACTAAATATGACCATAAACAAAAGAAGGTGGGAAAAAATTCAAATCGGAAACGGAAGTTGTTTATGCAGGATGGAAAACCCTGCGTTCGAATTTTAGCAGGGGATTTTTTTTTTTCGATCTTTTGTAACAATTTTGTTTTAAGTGTTGTCTATTACTACTACTACTACCACCATTACCACCGATTGACGTGGTGAGGTAATCGTACGGTTTTCGACTTGGCTACGATCCAGGGTTGCGTAACGTTGGATGCATTAAAATTAGGAGACGAAAAGCGTGGGTGTACCAACATAAAATAGAGAAACAAAACGAAAGCAATTATTGTTCTGATTTCCTGTCCGAGCAGGAATTGTTCCATCAAATTAATTCGTTTTGTTTCTTTCTCTCTCTCTCTCTCTTATTATTATTATTATTTGATTGCTGTTACGTTTGATGCCCTGCATTTAAGCGTGCAAGGTCCGCACTTCCGCCATCTCGTTTCCGGCTGTCGAAAAAAAAAAATAGAAGCGAAGCGGATTTGTTGCGTTTTTTTTTTAATTTTATTAGTTACGCGATTGCGTTATGCTTTTGTTAGTGCTGATCACTGTGATTGGTGAATTTTTTCTCGTTTTGTTTGCTTGCTTTTTTTTTTCACCTCTTGCGAGCAGAAAGCCGCGTGCGATCACCAGGTTAGCGTCAATCTCGTGAAGCAAACTGAAAGTCTTCGGCTGCGGATGGATCCTGTTCCTGCTCAAAACCCTACAGATCCTCAGCGCATCCCTCCTAAACTTTCCCCCTAAAGTGCGACAATACACGCAACCAAATTAACAGCAATTAAGCTTACACATTTGCAGCAAAATGTTTTTTTTGCGTTCCTAAAATTCCTAAAATTGTATCAATTATTTATTGATTTTGTTTTTCGTTATTGATCAATTATCAATCAATAATCGAAAGAAATGCTGCACAATTTGATAATTTGTTTACAATATGCAACTTTATTATCATTGCTTTCACATAAACATGAATTATTTCCGGATATGCAACTTTATTACCACCAAGTGCATTCATTAATCGCGATAAACAATTGAAACAATCTAAGTGTCAGAACGGAAATGGATGATTCAAAATATATAAATTTCATTTTTATTAATAATAGCATTTATTATTGCGGTAATTGAGTAATAGTAAAAATAATAGTAATACAAGATTTTTGAAGGTGATCTAATAATAATAGTTAAATAAATTTGTTGTTTGACAATTGTAAATATCGCAGAGTGCGTTGATCAAGGTTATGCGAATTGTTTTTTTTTTAGCGCTCGCTATCTGTTTATGCAACACGAATCGGGACGGCGGCAATCGCTAAATTTAGATGCGTTAATAACAATAATAAAAAAAACACTACAAAATTTAAATTAGTATTAGCTCAATAAAATACAAAACAAACGACAACGAGGGTGAGTCAATATAAACAAAAAAAAATCAAAAACATAGGAGGCTAACAGATATTATTTTGTTTTTTCTTTGGTTTTCAAGAGGGGTGGTCTCACACAGACTCACCATCCTGATCTATGAGTTCCCGAAGATGCTTGGGAATCCTGTCGGAAGCGGTGATCTCATCGCCGTCGAGGATGAGGACTTCCCGGTGGTGATTCTGCTGCTGCTGCTGAATTTCATCGGAATCGTCTCTCAACAACAATACACCTCCTTTCACCAAACGTTGCCGCGCCTTATCCAAAAACTCTTTCTCAAGTTCGTTCGTTGCCTTCTCTTCTGTTCCATTCGCAAGGATATCGTCTTGCTCGTTCAAAGATATTTTAATGATCTTGTGATGTTTTCGCTCCTCTCGTTCCGCCACCTTATCCATGTACTCGTCGTACATCTCCTGCCTGAGCTTCTCGTGCGGCTCCACAGATGGCGTACTTTTGGGTCGACCCTTTTTCAAGGCCGCCTCCGGTTCGAATTCGTTCAATGGGACGGGAACCGCGGTGAACATGTCCGAGTTCAACTTGCGCTTCTCCATCTCAAGAGATTCCAATTCCTCTTGGATTTTCTTCTCCTTCTCGATTAAATATTGCATCTGCTTAACGTAGAACTCGTGCGGCAGAGATCTTCGCCTTCTCGATGTTGTTGTTGCCGTCTCCAGCCACTCGCCCAGATTCTGAGCCTTCGAACGCGCCTCGTTCATCAACCTCTGCAGATTCCCAACGGCCCTTTTGGCTCCATCCTCCTCATCATCTTCCTCCTCCAAGATCGTCCGGATGGTGAACTCCTTCGGCTTAATCTTCAGATCGCTCTCCGACGCAAATCTCTTCAGATTACTGATTTCCTCCTTCCTCGTTGAAGACGACTCCTCCACGAATCTCTTCAGATTACCACCCTCCAATTTAGACGCGTCTATATCTTTGCAATTCTCGGAGATGAACTGTTTCAATCTACTTTCACTTTCCGATATCTCAGTGTTACAAATAAACTTCTTCAAGTTACTTTCCTCACTCAAAGTCTCAATCTTTTTACCACTTGTTTCCTCCAGTTTAGCATCCTTCTCCAATACAGTTTTAATAACAAACTCTTTAGAATTATTACTTTTTTCATTCTTCAAATCACTTTTCGAGAAAAACTTATTCAAATTGCTTCCTTCGACTCCGGATTTATTCAAACTATTTTCATCAATCCTAGACTTATCACCTTTCCTCGGTTCCTCCAACACTGTTTTAATAACAAATTCATTCGATTTCTTATCATTCAAACTGCAATTCTTTAAATCACTTCCAACGCTTTGAGAGAAAAACTTATTCAAATTGCTTCCAGATTTATTCGAACTACTTCCGTTCACTTCAGATTTCTCCACAACGGTTTTAATGAAAACTTCTTTCGAACTTGACTTATCATCACCGAAACTGTAATTCTTCAAATCATTTCCAACGCTTTGCGAGAAAAACTTGTTCAAATTGCTTCCTTCAAATTTAGGTTTTTCCATAGTAGTAGACTTAACGCTTTCAGATTTGCTCACATTCGAACTACTTCCATTGACTGAAGACTTCTCAACAATAGTTTTAATAAAAACTTCCTTAGATTTAGTCTTATCATCAAGTAAACTGTGATTCTTCAAATCGCTTCCAACGCTTTGAGACAAAAACTTGCTTTCCTCAAATTTAGGTTTTTCCACTGAGGTTTTCACTAAATTGTGATTCTTCACATTATTAGTAACGCTTTCAGATTTACTCATTTTCGAATCATCTGAAGACTTTTCAACAACAGTTTTAATAAAAACTTCCTTAGATTTAGTCTTATCATCAAGTAAACTGTGATTCTTCAAATCGCTTCCAACGCTTTGCGAGAAAAACTTGTTCAAATTGCTTTCCTCAAATTTAGGTTTTTCCACAGAGGTTTTCACTAAATTTTCTCTGTGATTCTTCACGCTTTCAGATTTACTCATTTTCGAATCATCCGAAGACTTTTCAACAACAGTTTTAATAATAACTTCATTAGATTTAGCTGTATCATTATCATCAAAACTATGATTTTTCGACTCACTTTGAGACAAAAACTTTTTCAAATTACTTCCAGATTTATTCATCACACAATTCTCAAGTTCATTCGAACTACTCCCATCAACTGTAGACTTTTCAACTACGGTTTTTATAATTACTTCTTTAGATTTAGTTGTATCATTATCAAAACTGTGATTGTTGAAATCGCTTTGCGAGAAAAACTTATTCAAATTGCTTCGCTCGACTTCCGGTTTCTCTAAAACGGTTTTAATGATGAACTCTTTCGATCCGGACTTTTCCTTAACATCTCCGACGCTTTGCGATTTGCTTTTGTTCAAATTCGACGAATTTTCCACCACAGTTTTGATTATAACCTCTTTCGAATCGCATCTTTCTCTGTTTGTCAACCCTTGATCGTTCAAACTCTGCGATTTGCTTTTGTTTAAATTGCTCAGTTGATTCGGTTTTGAATTTTCCATAACGGTTTTGATCAGGAATTCTTTTTGTTGATTCTTCATAACGTCATCGACGCTCTGCGATTTGCTTTTGTTTAAATTGCTTGCTTGATTTGTATTCAAATTACCATTCATTTTCGAAGCATTTTCTTTATCTTTTTCCACTACTGTTTTGATGATGACTTCTTTCAAATTGCCATTCATTTTGACCAATTTCTCATTCGATTTACACAAATTTTCTTTATGAAAAACATCTTTTTCCACTAAAGTTTTGGATTCGCAACTTCCTTTCTTTAAGTCAGCTTCAGATTTAATCAAGTTACCATTCGCTTCTTTATTTTCCAATACAGTTTTGATGATTACTTCTTTCGAATTGCCATTCAAGTTGACCAATTTCTCATTCGATTTACGCACATTTTCTTTATGAAAATCATCTTTTTCCACTAAAGTTTTGGTGGAATCGCAACTTTCTTTCTTTAAGTCAGCTTCAGATTTAATCAATTTACCATTCGCTTCTTTATTTTCCAATACAGTTTTGATGATGAACTCTTTCGATTCTCTCTTGTTCGAGTTACTTGACGTTTCGTTTTTGTTCGATGTCGTTTTGTAGATGGCGTCTTTCTGTGGTGGAAACACTTCTTCTTCTTGTTTGTTTCGAGATTTGGTTGGTACGAATTGGTAATTGCTGGTGTATGTTTCCTCGTGCATCTTCGTGTTTCTGATGAGGTCGAGCAATCGGCTGGAGTCGTCGTCGTCGTTCGGATTCGGTGCAGCTGGAAAAGAATCAGGGATGAGGTGATGCGCGGTTTCGGCTAACTCTTCGAGCACTTCGTCGCCGAACGGTAACGTCACCATCCGCTTTAGGCAGATGTCTTTGAGGGTGAGCGGTTGCGGGTCTTGAAGAAGTGATGCAACGTCACCTACCGAAGACGTCATCGGGTTCTCGAGCGTCGTGACAGGGCTGCTCCGATTGGTCGAATCACTACCGGAGGAGTCGACATCTGGCGTTGGAGGCGGAGTCTGCTGAGAATCGGAAGCTGATGATTCGTCCTCATCCAGATGCACGATTTCCGGTCGTTCGATCGATTGAGCCGTTTCGGTGCGACAGACGACTTCTTCGATCGTCGGACCTTCGATTATTCGAACTCTGAGCGTTTCGCGATCGCTCGAATCGCTTCCCTCCTCGCTGATGGCGTCCAGAAACCTTGGGTTCTGGTAAACCGGAAGGAAGTACTGAGCGATTTGCTCGCGTTTCTTGGCGCGTTTGCTTTTCGTCGTAGAAGATGATTCGTTTCGATTTTCGACGACTTTCGCCGCTTCCTCAGCGGAATTCACCAAATCCAAACCGACTATGAACTGCCTTAAATGCACCTCCTCTTCGGGCGACAGAAGCGCCATCTCTCGTGGAACAACACTTGTTTTAACTTCGTCCGCTTCCGCTACGATCGCCGTGCTTTCCGCTTCCGTTTCCGTTTCGCACTCGGACAACTCGGTGATCCTGAGCGTCTCATCGCTGTCCAGACTTTTGCTCTTCACCACTTCCTTCTTTTTTTGCACCGTTTTCGGAGATTCCACGCGATAATCTTCGCTCGTTTCGATCACCTCCACCACCGTGTCCGTCTTCTGCTGCGTTCTCCTGCGGTTCCGCCGCTTTCTGTGCTTCGATCCGTGGTGCGGCATTTCGTCGTCCGAATACGCTCCTAAACGAACACTGACTAATTCTTAATGATGCCTCTCACTCTCTCTCTTTTTTAGTCGCGAGTTGTTTTCGCGTGTATTTGGGTGGGATGAAACGCGACAAACAGACGCGAACAAAAGCGACGACGTTGATGATGCAGTAGTATTTAGTGTATGTATCTACGCTTTTTTACGTCACCAAAAACGTTTATCCTAGCAATTAAGACTCGAGAAGATCTCTTACCTGTTGCAGAACTAGTAGTCTTCGTCAAGGTAGCAATCGATGAATCCGTTGAACTGCTCAAAGACTTCCTGCTCTCACCTGCAAAATGCAAACACACACGTTTCTTGTTTGTTTGTTGTTGTTGTTGTTATGGTTTCATTAAATCAAACAAAAGTTCAGCTAAGATCGCGTTGCCCCGACTACTAAAGATAACAAAATCTCCGTTGCTAAACAAAAACAACTAGATTTAGTTTAGATATTGCTTCGCTTAGAGCGGATCAGCAAGGACTGATTGCAATTGCAAAGCCATCGTGATCATCATCATCATCAGCAGTCTCCTCTTTTTTTTTTCATTATTCATTTCCCACCGCTCTTCCGGACTATACGCACTCCTATTGTTTTGTTTTGTTGTTACGGGCCCTACCATTTGGGAGCGGCAACCACCCAAGCGCGAAAACAAAAGAGAGAGAAACAAAATACGGAAAATTGGTAGAGAGAAACAAAAGTCCACTCCTAGGAAACGTACATACATATCTAGGATGCTTTATTTTTTTTTAGGTGCGATTCGAGTTATCTAACTTTATATAAAAAAAAAATAAACGATTTGACCCACATTTTATAGAAATGAATCGCGGAAATTCGAAAATTTGATTGTGTGCAAATCGTTTACTTTTCAATAATAAATCAAAACATCCTTGAAACTTTTGTTTCGTTGCAATTGTTCTATTATTTTTGTTTTTGTATATATAAATTCTATTTAGCATTTATAAATTCTATTTAGTTAGAGATGAGTTCGGTTTCGCAGCGGATGGCGACAATTTGCACGAATCTAACGTAAATTGGGACAACAAGGACTTTCTCAATCGTCTCTAACTGCATAATAACTGTGCACGTAGATAACACACATTGTGTTCTCTATGCTATTAGCTTTAATTTGCTTATTAATATTTGTATGTAACTATCTTAGTTTTTGAGTAATATTATAAAATCTAAGGTGACTACATTAACAAACAATATATTAGTTCGAATTTAAATGATAGTTGCAGAAAACATATAAATGTCATCGAGATGACTTCATACCTTTAATTTGCATACCTTTATATAACTGTGACGTTATTAGTTTTTGAGCAATTTAATAAAATGTAAAGAGATTTCTTCAATTAATTTAACTGCACATTCCAAGAAATTGGTATATGGTACAAAGATGCTTGTATACTTATTACATTCTCTATAATTTCAGCTTTTAATAGAGCGTAAATATAAGTGTATAGCTTTCTTAAATTTTTAGTTATATCAATTTCAAGATTTTCATCGTTTTTTTTTTACCAATTTCAATAGTGAATTTCAATTAGATTGTCTATAGTTAATATAAGTCTATAGCTTTTTTAGTTTCTTAGATAAAGTAGGTTTTTTTTGTTGTTATTAATGCTAAAATCTACTAACAAACAAACAAATAAACATCGATCGATGAGGAAGAACTGGTGTGACGACGGCCAACTGGATAATGAGTTCCACGTGCTTCGACGTTTCGTAAGCGTACTTCTATAGTGGATGTTCGGATTTCAATTAGCGCGCTCGGTATTGATACGTTCACAAATTGGAAATTGCGTTCTGAATAATTCAAGGAAGGCTTCCTCTTTCCGGCCTCCTTTCCGCTCAATTCGTCGCGGACAAAAAGGGACAATTTCGAATCATCAATTTGTTTCAAAAAAAGAAAAAAAAATCCAAACGTGTTAACTAAATTGCTCGTAGATTTTAGGTCAAACGAAGTAAGGAAATTAAAAAAAAAAAAAAAACTAAATATTTACATAAATTTTCGTTACGCGCTGAGATTCTTTAATCTTTCAATAGAAACGCTTCTCCGCACTTCTTAATATAAATATTTATAATAAAAAAATTAAACATGAAATTTCTTACGCGAAAAACATGATCCAATTGTTTCAACTCTGATTCATCCCATTCAATCATCATTGAAAAATAATCGATTTGCAAATTAATAAGTTTTTGATCGATTAATTTTGCGATTTTCGTCCTCGGTTGGTCACATAATTCGTAACCATGCGCAACGAATAAACAGAATTTAATGACATTTTAATTAACTCAGTTTTAAGTGAAATGTGGACGTTTCCATAGATACGTGTTGATATGTAAATTGTTGCTGAGAGTGACGTGACTTTTTCAATTTTCATGCAACCATAAACATTTTTAATACCAAAACTAAATTGTCTTTGCGTTTATCTAGAAAACTAATAACAATATTTGTAGTGTTTATAGTTTTCTTGTAATTCATCAACGAAATTGTTAAGTTAACTTAATTAAAGTCACCTTTACGTTTAACTTAATAGCAGAAAATCTAAGAAAGCTACAGACGTTTATTAACATTCGAATTGAAGCTAAAATTTCAAGGAATTTTATATGTAAACAATTATTTTACTACGAAGATAATAAAATTTAAATAATTATTTGATTTTTAACAAAAAGTTTAATTAAAAGAATTGAGGAAAAATAACGAATTATTACTTATTATAGGCAACCAAACCATCAACAATAATATTTTCACTTTAAATAAAAACACAATGAAACAATATAAAAGTTCGCAAAACTGCAACATTACTTCACTAAATCTATCCAATTATGGTCGAGAAATAGGAACAATTATCTAATTTAGTTATTTTTAAATTTAAAAAAAGTCTCAATTGTTAATGTTGTCAATATTAATACCAACCTAAGCTTAATTAGTTTTTTTTTTTAAATAAACTTCGTAAAAATAAAAATGTAAAAATTAAATTATTTACCCACATTGAGACGTTCATCGTTTTTAACTATGAAACTAAAACTAACATCGCTTCGACTGCGTTCTGTGTGCATACGGCGTTATCTGAGTTGACTTCGTAAATTGTGTGTTTGCTCGGTGAACGTTTGTAATTGTGTACTAATTTGTGCGTATTATATTGCTCGTTCCGTTTCTAAATTAGTTCAAATAGTGAGTAGTTCTAATAATTAGTAGTTCTAATGACAAATTTAAGTAAAATTTGGCGAAATTTATTTAAAAAATAAATAAATTGTTTTTACTAACTTTCGTATTGTGCGGATTTTTTGGTTCGGAATGGTCGAAGGAGTTTCGTCCACTTTCGTTTGGAAGTCTTAAGCTTTTGGTTTTGCGGGGCGAAGCACGCTGGACAGAGCAGTCTCATCGCGGAAGATTGACTGACTTAAAGAAGAAGCGCTTATTCTTCTTCTTTTTCTTTCTTTCGTCATCGACGTCGTTGTTATAGTAACATCATTTAATTCAAGCGTAACCTGGGTGCGTTTTTTTTTTCAATTCGGGTGCGGCGTATGTATGTGAAAACAAAAGAAAATTGGGTGCAAGAAAATTGGGTCACAAATAAACTATCGAATGTAAACGTTATTTTTGGCATCCGAGTTAAATTAACTTAATGTAAACGCGCAACTCTTAATCACAATTTAACAATTCGTTAGAGTAATCGGATATTTGTGTAGGTTTAGAGTGCATATCATATGATTCGTAAATCCATTAGTGGAGTTTGGATCAAAGTCAACATCGCGGTGTTCTAGTTCTTGTTTGCAAAAAAAAAAGCATTACGAAAACTGCAAAACTAAAAAAAAAAGAAACAACGCAATCCCATCAAATTGCGCGCTCTCTCCTTGAAATACGTTATTTGTATCCATGGAAACCGTGCTCATTTCACCTCGGAATCGTCCTCCTCCTCCTACAAAACCCAATTCGTCCTCTATCTCTCGCTGCATGAAACCGTTTCGCATTGACCGAAATATTATTTCATCTGCAGTTTTACGTAATTTTTAGGTCTATTGACCTACACAAACATTCAAAAGTGTTTTCGTTTTAATTTGACATTTTATTATTATTGTTTTCTATTTTCGGACAATTGACCCTTTTTTTCCTTTTTTTTTTAAATTTCTGATAAATGACCACTTTTGTTTCTTAATCTATTTTCAACTATAAATACCAGTTTTATTAATGAAATTGTAATTTCTAATAATTTACCGATTACATAAATAAACAACCTTATCTTATTTCAATTCTTTTGTTTTCTGAATAATGAAACAGCAAAGTTTTTTTTTTCAAATTCGTTTTCATAACATTTTATTCTTATTGAAATTTGGTTATAATGTTTTTCTATTGTCGGACAATTGACCTTTTTTTTTTTAATTTTTGATAAATGACCACGTTTTTTTCTTAATCTATTTTCAACTATAAATACGAGTTTTATTAATGAAATTGTAATTTCTAATAATTTACCAATTACATAAAAAAAACAACCTAACCTTATTTCAATTCTTTTGTTTTCTGAATAATGAAACAGCAAAGTTTTTTTTTTCAAATTCGTTTTCATAACATTTTATTCTTATTGAAATTTGGTTATAATGTTTTTCTATTGTCGGACAATTGACCTTTTTTTTTAAATTTTTGATAAATGACCACTTTTTTTTTCTTAATCTATTTTCAACTATAAATACGAGTTTTATTAATGAAATTGTAATTTCAAATAATTTACCGATTACAAAGAAAAACAACCTAAGCTTATTTCAATTCTTTTGTTTTCTGAATGAATGAAACAGCAAAGTTTTTTTTCTCAAATTCGTTTTCATAACATTTTATTATTATTGAAATTTGTTTATAATGTTTTTCTATTTTCGGACAATTGACCTTTTTTAAATTTCTGATAAATGACCACTTTTTTTCATAATCTATTTTCAACTATAAATACGAGTTTTATTAATGAAATTGTAATTTCAAATAATTTACCGATTACAAAGAAAAACAACCTAATCTTAGTTCAATTCTTTAGTTTTCTGAATAATGAAACAGCAAAGTTTTTTTTCTCAAATTCGTTTTCATAACATTTTATTACTATTGAAATTTGGTTATAATATTTTTCTATTTTTGGACATTTCACCCTTTTTTAAATTTCTGATAAATGACCACTTTTTTTTCTTAATCTATTTTCTTCTATAAATACGAGTTTTATTAATGAAATTGTAATTTCTAATAATTTATCGATTACATAAAAAAACAACCTAACTTTAGTTCAATTCTTTTGTTTTCTGAATAATGAAACAGCAAAGTTTTTTTTTCAAATTCTTTTTCATAACATTTTATTATTATTGAAATTTGGTATAATGTTTTTCTATTTTTGGACAATTGACTTTTTTAATTTCTGATAAATGACCACTTTTTTTTCTTCTATTTTTTCAACTATAAATTCGAGTTTTATTAATGAAATTGTAATTTCTAATTATTTACCGATTACATAAAAAAAACAACCTATCCTTATTTCAATTCTTTTGTTTTCTGAATAATGAAACAGCAAAGTTTTTTTTTCAAATTCGTTTTCATAATGTTTTCGGTTAAAATTACTGAAAACTTCTTAAGATCAAGACGCAAATTAAAGGGTTAAAAAGTTGTTTTTTTTATTACTACTCACCATTCTCTTTAAGGCCGTTCCTGTCTTCGTTGCGTTGTTCGTCGCTCGTTGATGATGCACCGATGATGCTCGTTATAGACGCGCTCGATACGCTCGTTGCTGGAAATAACGAGGAGAATAAAGATACGAAATAGAAACGAAGCGAAAAACAAAACCGAAACGATGAACAATTGAACGAGGCGAAATTGCATTAAGGGCGTATCGAATGCACCCAACAAAGTAGAACAAAAAGAAAATCGGAAAACAAATTTTCACGTTGTCACTGGAAACACAAACAAAAGTCAACTGGATCCGTTCAGAATTCGTAATTTCGTAATTTCGAGATGAGAGCCGCTGCTAGTGACGAAACTTGCGCGAATTATATTATATAATTTTTCACGCGCTCTTTCGCTAATGCGACCTTCGATTTCATTCGAAAATGTTTACTTTTGATGCTCAATTTGCAGCAGAGAAATACTTAAGAAGTTCAAATTTTATTTTGTTTACTTACTATTGTTAATAGTTTTCGATTGATGTGTTTCTTGAAGCGGAGTCTTGCTGAATTGCCGCCTCTTCGGGGAACCGGAGCTATCTCTGAAAAAAACAAAAAACAATGAAAAACAAATTGCAGATTATTGAAACAAGCGCTGTATGGAAGTGGGTGGATACAAGGAGACCTACACCCCTTTACGCCATTCGTTTATTTTTATTTGTTTGTTTAGAAGCAAATGGAAAAAGTAGGCGAGGAATAAACAACGAGCAAACAAAAAAATATATATACAGAAAAAACGAAGATAGCGTAAAAATGGCGTATTTACGAGGTCGCTATCGCTCGACTGCAAGAGTAGACGAAAAAGTAACAAAACCGTCGAAGCTGCCGATATTTATTTGATGTCTAAATCATTCGTTTTTCGTCCTTATTCGTTGTTTGTACGCGACGAATATCGAAGCAATCGATGCAAAGTTAAACAAATTGCGATTGGTGGAAACAAATAACAAACTTTTATTTCGTGATCAATAAAAGAAAAACAAATGAAAACTAGAACAAAATTATAATTCGTATTTTGATGAAAACAAAAGAAAACAACATTTTTATCGTCAAGTTTAGAAAGACATAATTAGTTGTCATCCTACGCAAACCGGAACTATCGACAAATGATCGATATTCGTACTTCCTTTTTTTTTTCGTAATCACGACGTATAGCGAAGCCATCGTTGGCATAGACTCCCCCGATGAGATTTAATCCTCGGACCCAATTTCCTGCGGAAATTGCTTACACACACACATTGACGTACACAGCGTTCTTTCACTTGTTTTCGTTGCGTTTTCGCATCGGAACAGTGACGGATTTAGAACTTGAAAGGCTCCCAACCGATTTGAAGGATAATTACAGCCAAATAAAAATCAATAAAATGTGAAAACACTGCTTTTATTCATTTTTTTCAACTTTGAACGCGAATTATAGCCATAAGGTAATAAAACCACAGTAATATATGAATACTTGCTAAATTCCCCAAACATTCAGCTTTCATATGCATCTTTGGATTCATTCATGTATTATAGTTTTCGAGAAAATCAAGTAATAGTGAAAACACTGCTTTTTCGAGCATTTTTTAAACTTTGAATGCAAATTACAGCCATACAGATAAAACCACAGTAATATATGAATACTTGCTACATTCCCCAAACATTCAGCTTTAAATGCATCTTTTAGATCCATTCTAACCATTAGAATTTCTAAGATATGCATACTTTTACTTAGACAAAAAGTTTCTTGGAAACAATTAACAATGATTAAAAGATCGCAGCGGGAAGTGCATGAACGCAATTAAAAGCAAAATAAAGCCGAGAGATCCACGATTATTATGCGAAGGTTGAATTGAAAAGGATAAATGTGTGCAATTTGCGATACGAAAAATAAGTAACAATAAAAGATAAGGAAAGAAGTGAAAAACTAGAGAGGAAAGCAGTCGGTTTGAGGCTCGAGAGGTATTCAGGTTGGCGCAATAAACAAAGTAATTTATTGGATTAACATTTCTATCTGTATGTTTAAGTACGCGTACGAACGACGTATGGATTTGTATGTGTTCCTTGTTTTTTTCTTTTTGAGATAGGATAAGAATCGAATCTCAGGTATTAATTGTTCCGAGAGTTGTGGCCGTTCCCTTTATCTGTGTCAATGCGATTCCGCAATTTTCCACCGGAAAATGAGAGAAAACGAGAAACATAAAACAGAGGTTGTGTGGTAACGAGTCTTGGGAACGGCCTTGCAGGGTCGCGAATCTGTGGTTGTTGTTGTTGTTGTTGGTGATGTTGTCGCCTCTGTTTATTTATTTTTTCCTTCCTTCCTCGCAAGCAAAAGCCGAGAGAACCCTCTCAGCTGGACTCCAATCTCCTGTTGTGATTAATAACTCATAATTGTTCACTTAACATAATTCCACACTAACTAGAATTAAGAACGCTCGCAATCCATCATCCAAAAAGAAGAGAAAAAAAACGCATCAGTCGAGATGGTGGAGGAATGAAGAGAAACGAGAGGAGAGAGAGCAAACTGGAACGAAATAGAGTGATAGGAAATAGAGAAACAGATGAGAGGGATAGAGACAAAGAGAGAAAGAGAAGGAAATGTTGCGTTCGCAATTGTAAATTACAATTTAACTAATGGCCATTGTTCAAACGATATTATTTACGGCCGCATTAGTACGTTGTTAAATAAGTAGGTATCACATATTGAAATATCCGTGACCCAAATAGACTTCGACGGAACATGCATACACTTTATTCTTATTCTTACTACTATTACTACTACAACTATTATTAAAGCTTTTTCGCTCGTCGATAATACTAACTATAAAAGTGGGAATAGTAATGTTAATAGTCTACGACATGCGATTGGAATGTCCAGAGCAAATTATTAACGACAAGTCAGTCCGTTCGATTTCCAAATTTACTCTTTACATTTATTATTTCACAATCACTTAATTCAACATACTAAATCTGATATTTTCAGACAATTTCTGCTTGAAATTTTCAAATACTTGCTAAAAGGATGAAGGAAATTATACAATTATAAATAATAACAATAAATTACAAATTAAAGTGATAATTACTAAATATTCAATAATATAAAAATAAATTAGAAATGAAACAAATTGTTTGTTCGAATTACGAAAGAAATCATTGCTTCTATATACATGTTATTATTTTTGGAAATTTCAATAATGATAAATTAGAAATTAATCTATTTTTCTTGATTTATGAACGAAATCATTATTTTCTACATACTAAATCTCATTTTCTGCTTGCTATAATCAATTTCTGCAACAATTTTCAAATATTTATTAAAATAATAAAGGAAATTATACAATGTAATTATACAAATTAAAGTGATAATTACTTCTATATACTAAATCTCATTATTTTTGACAATTTCTGCTTGCTCTAATCAATTTTTACAATAATTTTTAAATTATTAATAATATAAAGATAAATTATAAAAATAAATATTTTTTGTCCGAATTGTGAAAGAAATCAATACTTCTATATACTAAATCTCATTCTTTTTAATTACATTACATTCTGCTTACTATTATCAATTTTTATAATAATTTTCAAACATTTAATAAATTATTAATAATATAAAGATATATTAGAAATGAATCATTTTTTTGTTCAATTTTCGAAAGAATTCATTACTTCTATATACTAAATCTTATTCTTTTTGTAAATTTCTGCTTGCTGTAATATTTTTTTTAAAATTTCATAAAAGTTTAATAAATTATTAATAAAAATTAAAAATTAATCATTTTGGTTCGAATTGCAAAAGAAATCATTACTTCTATATACTAAATCTTAGTCATTTTGGAAATTTGTGCTTTCTGTATTAATTTTTTAGAAAAATTTTCAAAAATTGTAATAAATAATTAATAAAATAACGATAAATTAGAAATTAATCTATTTTGTTCAATTTACGAAGAAAATCATTACTTCTATATACTAAATCTTATTCTTTTTGTAAATTTCTGCTTGCTGTAACTATTTTTTTTGAAAAATTTCATAAAAGTTTAATAAATTATTAATAAACTAATGATAAATTAAAAATTAATCATTTTGGTTCGAATTGCAAAAGAAATCATTACTTCTATATACTAAATCTTAGTCATTTTGGAAATTTGTGCTTTCTGTTATTAATTTTTTAGAAAATTTTCAAAAATTTAATAAATAATTAATAAAATAACGATAAATAGAAATTATTCTATTTTGTTCAATTTACGAAGAAAATCTTTACTTCTATATACTAAATCTCATTCTTTTTGGCAATTTCTGCTTGTTGTAATCAATTTTTGCAATAATATCCAAACATTTAATAAATTGTTAATAATATAAAGATAAATTAGAAATGAATCATTTTTGTTTTCAATTTTCGAAAGAATTCATTACTTCTATATACTAAATCTTAATCATTTTGGAAATATGTGCTTTCTGTATTAATTTTTTAGAAAATTTTCAAAACATTGAATAAATAATTAATAAAATAACGATAAATAGAAATTAATCTATTTTGTTCAATTTACGAAAGAAATCATTACATCTATATACTAAATCTCATTATTTTTGGCAATTTTTGCTTGTTGTAATCAATTTTTGCAATAATATCCAATCATTTAATAAATTATTAATAATATAAAGATAAATTACAACATTAATCATTTTTGATCCAATTAAGAAATTATTACTTCTATATACTAAAACTCGTCATTTTATGCAATTTCTTCTTTCTATAATTTATAAAAATTCATTTTTATATCGTCATATGAAGAAGTACTCTTTTTCTAATTCTTAAAACACAAATTTTTCAACATTTTAATCGAATTTCCTAAATTTCTCGCTTTAATTTCTCTCAACAAAAAAAAATCGTTCCAAATATGAATGAATTTTGTAATCTAAGCTCTTTAATTACCATTCTAAATTCCATTCGATTTCCCAAAAAAAAAGAAACACATTTAACCCAAATTTCCCAATAATAAACTTATCTTCGAGATAGATCCTTGTAGATTAGCCATAATCCAAAGATTACCAATGATGTACGCGCTCCGAGGAAGATTTACTACTTCGAGATTACACTAATTTTGTAATATGCTCGAACGTAATCTCTTTCTATGTATGTAATCGAGGCAGATTTCGCCTTTGCTCATATGTTATATGTGTGTGTGTGTGTTTAGAGAAACCAACAAAAAATAAAAATTTTAACTTCATTCATAATAATTTATGGACAGATAGATATGCTGTTATTACTCGAAAGGAAATAATAATAATTGTTGTTATACGAAATGTCGTCGACCTGATTTCAGCTGAGGTCACTTCCCTTGATGGGAGAAAGGGGGGTTGGGGGGAGGGTGTATGGTTTTCTTATCTCGAGTTTCGTGTTTGCGTTGAAAAGAGTGTGCAAGTATCGGAATGGCCAAAGTTCCATCGAAATAGTAAACAATTCTGTGTATTGATATCACATCACATCACAATACGCAACGCGTACGTCATCATCATTAACATCGATCGATCGTTTATGAATGATCTAAGTTCAACATCGTTTTGTAATTTAGTTTTTTTTTTGT